GTGGGGGGGGCGGGGGGGGTGGGGTTGTTGTTGTTGTGGGGCGCGCTGCTGCAGCGCATGCAGCAGCGCCAAAGTGCCACTCAGACAGCACCGGGCCAAACACCGCCTCCCGCAGATGCGCAGCCTCCAGTGCGTCCTGCTGCTGCTGCTGGCTGTGCTCCTGCTGCTCCTGCTGCTGGCTGTGCTGCATCTGCGCCTGCTGCTGCTGTCCCTGCTGCTGCTCCTGCTGCTGCTCCTGCTGCTGCTCCTGCTGCAGCTGGTTGTGCTGCTGCTGCTGGAAAATAGGAAAGGCATGGGGAGCCCCAGGCAGCAGACGAGGTGGGTCTGCTTCCTCTTCCTCTTCCTCTTCTTCTTCTGTGTCTTCTTCTTCTTTGTTTGCCTTCTTTGCAGCTGCCGCATCTTCAGTAGCACCTGAGGCACTGGACTCCCTTTGCGGCTGCTGTGCCGCTGCTGCTGCATCTGCTGCTTTGTCTGCTGCTGCGCCGTCCGCTTCATTTGACAGCCCTGCGTCAAGCTTCGCAGTCTTCTTCTTCTTCAGTGTTGGATTCTTTGCTGCTGCTTCTCCCGGTTCTGTTGCTTCGCCTTGGGTAACTTCTGGAGCTGCTTCTGCTTTTGCTGCTGCAGCTGCGGTTCCTCTTGTTGTTGCTGTTGCTGCAACTTTCGATCGCTCCTTCATGTCTTCTTCACTGTCCGTCATTTCTGGAATATCTTCCTCCGTGTCTGACAGCTCCGACAGCCTCCGCTGCTGCAGCAGTTTTTGCTGCGGCTGCTGCTGGGCTGCCCCTTGGCCTGTCTGTGCAGCAGCAGCCTGGGCCTCAGACGCCGCCTGCTCATGCTGCATTGGCAGCTCTTGCTGCTGCTGCTCTGTGAGCTGCAGCTGAGGACGTTTGGTGTCCTGTTGCTGAGGTGAAGTTTCCGTTTCCTGCATGCGCTGCTGTCGCTGCTGCTGCTGTGACTTCTGCCTCTGCTCTTGCTGCTGATTTTGCTGCTGATTTTGCTGCTGATTTTGCTGCTGTTTTTGCTTCTGCTTCTGCTGCTGCAACTCGAGTTGCCGCTGCTTCTCCTGCTTTCTTTTGAGTCGCCTCATTTCCCTTTCTTTTCTTTTCTTTTGCTGCTTCAGCTCTCTCTGTTGCTGCCGCTCTCTGGCTATTTGCTGCAGCTGCTGCTGCAGCTGCTCCTGCGTCAGCTGGGGGTAGCGCCTCAAGCTGCAGCTGCCTCGAATTGCCTCCGACAATAGGTAAGAAGAATAATAAAAGTAGTGGGTGCAGCCAGCAGCAGCAGCAGCAAGGCACAAACGCCGGCAAGCAGCAGCAGAAGGCACTCCCCCAGCTACAAACCCCACCACTTCACCACCCGGGAAATCTACACCAGAGCTGCCACACGCGTCCTCTGCGCACACAGCAGCAGCAGCAGCAGTAGACTCCGATGCTGCTGCTGCAAACGTCAGCTCAGCGTGTAACATTATCCCACCTTTTCACCCAGCGAATTGGCTCATTCGTGCCATGTGCTGTAGCTGCGCTGCTGCCAGCAGCAGCAGCAGCAGCAGCAGCAGCAGCGGCAGCAGCTGAAAGCCTACCTGGGCATGGATTGAATTCCGAATCCCCACAGCGAGTGCAGCAAGGAAGGCCCATGAGCTGGCGAGAGCAGAAGAATTGCCTGTCTTCCTCACTGGCTGGCGTGTCTTGCTGCAGCACTTCTCTGCTGCTGCTGCGATCACTGCTGCTCCTTTCGCCGTCACTGCCGTCGCTGCTGCTGCTGCTGCTGCTGTTGCTGCTGTTGCTGCCGCAGAACGGATCGAACCTGCCGCCTCCAACGCCGAAAAGGCCCGCTATGTCGCATTCGCTGCTGCTGACACCTGCAGCACAGCAGCAGCGAAAGGCGGTGCCGCAGCAGCAGAGGAAGCTTCTCCTGCGGGACAACGGCGTTGTTTTATCCCACCGTCAGCAGCAATAGGAGTCGCAGCAGCAGCCGCAGCAGCAGCAGCAGCAGCAGGCTTACAAGTGCCTTCAGGAAGCAGCGGGGGAGAGAGCCTCTGCGCCTCTGCGCTGCACTCCACTGGGCCCCCCACGAGCAGCAGCCACTGGCGCTGCTCAGCAGAGATAGGCAGGGCTGGCGACGGCGACTGCAGCAAATGGCAAGACGTCTGCAGCAGCAAGAGCAGCAGCAGCAGCAGCAGCAGGTCCCACGGCTGAGCGATAGCCAGTGAGAAGTCAGCGCTACAGCTGCAGCAGCTTCGCCAGCCCAAGGTCTGCTGCAGCCGGGAGCAGCAGCAGCGTAACAGAGGCACCCGACACTGCAGCAGCAGCAGCAGCAGCACGTGCAGCAGCAGCAACACCTGGAGGCCTTGTGGCAGCAGCTTGTTCGTCACGTATAAGAAAGAGCTGCAGCGGGGAGCAGCAGCGCGGCAGAGGCGGCGGCAGGCAGCGGGGGAAGGGACCCCAAAAGGCACAACAGCAAATGCCTTTCCAATGCCCAGGCGCACGTTGCGCCACAAGCAGCTGCTGTCTCCTTCTGAGAGCAGCAGCAGCAGCAGCAGCAAAAGCAGCAGCAAAGGTGGCAGCAGCAGCGCAGGGAGAAGCGCGCACCCTGACCTGCAGCTCGTACACCTGCCCCTAAGTCCTTTCTAGACAGAGAACAGCGCCATCGAGACCTTTGACGAGAACAGCAGCAGCAGCAGCAGCAGCAGAAACAGTGGATGCAGCAGCAGCAGCAGCAGGAGGACTCAGCCGCCATACCCTTGGCGTTTTCCGTAGAGGACCACAACGAGGCAAGTTCGCCCGGCGCATGCAGCAGCACTGGCCGTGCTGGATTCTGAGGGCTGGGGTGGTCTGCAGCAGCACAGAGCAGCAGCTGCAGCAGCAGCAGCAGCAGCAGGACCCCGCTGGGAGCGAGCCCCCGCGCAAGGGAGAGGCTGCTGCGCTGCAGCAAAGGCCGCATTGGCTGCAGCGCCAAGGGAACAGCCATAGTGAGGGTCCTCTGGGGCGCTGCAGCAGCAGCAGAAGCAGCTAAAAGAGACAGAGCAGCAAATGAGACAGATGGGGGGCCTCTTTCAAACTTTGGCAACGCAGTGTCTAGACACCCCACGCAGGGCGCAGGCCAAAGGCGCGGGTTGTGGTGTGAGGCTTATGGGACACCCAGGTGACCCTGGGGGCTGCTGCAGCAGCAGCTGCAGCAAACGAGCAGAAAAGGCTGCTGCCTATTCTGAAAAAGAGGTCCGAGCTGATGCTCGGCATCCTAAAATGTCAACAGCAGCAGCAGCAGCAGCTGCTGCTGCTGCAGCATCAGGCCACCCGCCCGCAGGACCGCCAAGCGACCGGGGCGGCGACAGGGAACGCCGCAGCGGCACTGCAGCAGCAGCGGCAGCAGCAGCAGCAGCAGCAGGAACGACTCAATTTTAACAACGTTTTGCTTGTTAAATGGCTCTTTGTTGTGTCTCCTCTACCCGCTTTCTGCCCTCACAGCGGGCTCACGAAGGACCTCGGGAGATACCCGGGGGGCCCCCGGGGCCCCCGCAGCAGCACATGGTGGGCCCTGAGGGCCCCTTAAGAAAAGGGGGCTTGTTGCTGCAGCAGTTATTTTTACGTTTCTAAGCGCACAGGCTGCTCAACTCGAGCCATTGTGTTCTGCTGCTGCTGGCACCGGCGCTGCCTCCGCAGCAGCAGCAGCAGCTGCTGCTGCTGCGGAGGCGGCATTGCTTTCTGGAGAGACCAGGGGCCTCTCGTTTTATTCTAGCATTCCTGAAACGTAGCAGAGAGGCCCCAGAAAACGCCAGAATTTGCCAAGCGCAGCAGCAGCTGCCGCTGCTGCTGCTGCTGGTACTGTTCCTGCAGCGGCGGCAGCAGCTGCTGCTGCAGTGGCGCTCATTCCTGCGCGGATTCTGCCTCTAGTAGGGCTTCATGAAGCGGTTGGAGTCGCAGCAGTAAAAGCAAGTGAGGCGGAGCGGCCTGTCGCAGGTTCTGCCTCATCGACTGCTGCTGCTGTTGCTGCTGCTGCCGTCGCTGCTGCTGCTGTCGCTGCTGCCGCTGGTAAGCACCTCTGCTGCTTAAGTGAAGCCAATGCACGGTGACAAGTTCCAGCAGCAGCTGCTGCAGCAGCAGCAAAGACTGCTGCGGCAGCAGTGGCAGCAACAATGCCAGCCGCAGCAACCTCAGCCGCCTCCCCCGCCGCCTCCGCTGCAGCAGCTGCAGCAGCAGCAGCAAAGCGGACAAAGGGTACAACAGCATCTGCCTCATGCTATGCAGCAGCCGCAGCAACAGATGGTCTGGGAACAGCAGCAACTACGATTGCATCAGCAGCTGCAGCAGCAGCACCAAGTACAGCAGCAGCTGCACCAGCACCAGCAAGTACAGCAGCAGCAGCTGCTACAGCAGCAGCAAGTGCAGCAGCAGCAGCTGCTACAGCAGCAGCAAGTGCAACAGCAGCGGTGTCAGCCACAGCAACCAACAACAGCGCCACCAATGCAGCGGCCTCCAACGCTGCAGCAGCAGCCTCCGCCGTGGCAGCAGCAGCAACAACAGCTGCTGCAGCGCGTTCCCCTTCAGCAGCAGCCTCAGCCGCACTTCAACCTTCTGCAACAAGGCCAGCAGCAGCAGCGGCAGCCAAACCTGCAGCAGCAGCAGACAGTGCAGCAGCAGTCTGAGCGCCAGAAGCTCAGCTCACAGAGCCTTCCAGCCGCCGCGTACTCACAGCAGCTGCAGCAGCAGCAGCAGCAGCACCAACATCACAGGCACAGGTCTCTGACAGCGCACACTGAAGAAGCTGCCACGGCAGCAGCAGCAGCAGCAGCAGCAGCGGCACGCGAATCTCAGCAGCTGCCACAGCAATTGCGCTTACAGCAGCTGCAGCAGCAGAGACTGCAGCAGCTGTCTGGCGCCCCGCTGATCCCCCCCGGATTGCCAGGAGTGCAGCAGCAGCAGCAGCAGCAGCACGCTCTCCAGCAGCAACTGCAGCAGCAGCAAATGCTGCTGCACCCTGACGCTCCTCCAGGTCTTCCTCGCGCTTTCGAAGCTCAAGCTGCTGCTCAACCCACGCAGCAGAAGCGGCTGCAGAAGCAGCTGCAGCTGCAGCAGCAGCGACAGCAGCAGACTGAGCTGCAGCAGCTGTACAAGCAGCAGCAGCTGCAGCAGCAGCTACAGCAGCAGAAGCGCGCAGAACTCCCAGCGGCACAGACAGCTGTTGCTGCTGACGCGTCTGGCACTTATGCGTCCTATACATCCCAGCAGCAAAAAATACTGGAGCAGCAGCAGCAGCAGCAGCAGCAGCAGCCCGAGACTTGCGACAGCCTCCCACCATGGCAGCGCCGTAACCTGCAGCAAGAGAGGCAGCCCATGTTGCAGCAACAGCAGCAGCAGCTACAACTGCAGCACAGCCAACAGGAACAAGCTCGGCAGCAGCAGCAGCAGCAGCAGCTGCAGCACAGCCAACAGGAGCAAGCAAGGCAGCAGCAACAGAAACAGCAGCAGCAGTTGCTGCAGCAGCAGCAAGTTTTCACAAGGCACGAGCCCATTGGGGGCCCCACAGCCCCTGGGCCTCCCCCGGGGCTGCTGCCGCTGCCGGAGGGGCCAGACACGCAGCAGCCAGTGCAGTCAGCACCGCAGCAGCAGCAGCAAAAACAGCAGCAGCATGTGCAGCAGCAGCTGATGCAGAAGCAACTGCAACAGCAGCTGCAACAGCAACAGCTCCGCCAGCAGCAACGTTTACAGCAACAGCAGCTGCAGCAGCAGCAGCTTCAGCAGCAACAGCTGCACCAGCAGCAACTACAACAGCAGCAGCTACAGCAGCAGCAGCTACAACAACAACAGGTGCACCAGCAACAGCAGCAGGTGCTGCAGCGCGTTGCTCGGCCCGTATGCGCTTCTGCAGCGGGTTCGAAAGCAGATGGGGAGTCTCAGCTTCAAGGAAAAGAGCAGCAGAAACAACAGTCACAGCAGCTGCTGAGCCAACAGCCGTGCAGCAGCAGCAGCAGCAGCAGCAGCACGTCCAGCAGGAGCGCCTGCAGCGTGCTGGTGTCCGCAGTGCACTACCTGCTGCCTCTGTTGCTGCAGCAGAACCCGAAGGCGCAGCAAGAGGCTTTGCAGCTGCTGCTTTCGCTGTTGTCCTACGCTGCCGTGCAGGGTGTCGCTCCCCTCAAGCAGCAGCAGCAGCAGCAGCAGCAGCAGCAGCAGCAGCAAGTGGACCTGAAGGCCTGCGCGGACCTCACAGAAGAACTGAGAGATGTTTATGTCCACCTGCTGGCCTCAGCACTTCTCACGCATGCAGACACCAGCACGCGGCTTGCTGCGGCTCGTCTGTGGGCTGCTGCTGCTGCTGTTGCCTCGCAGCTGAGCGCTGTCGCCAGCCGTGCGCTGCAGCAGCAGCAGCAGCAGCAGCAGCAAGAGCTGGCGCAGTCCTTGAAGCAGCGCTGCCAAGCCTTGATGAGGGTCGCGGCTGTGGGGCTTTCTTACATGAGCTGTACGTACACTGCAGAGTTCCGAGATGTTTCTAGGAGGCTAAATCATTTTAGTGTTTAAGCTGGCCGCAGCAGCAGCAGCAAACTGCTAGCGATTGCTGCTGCTGCTGCAGCGGCTGAGGCTGGAAGTAGAAGCAGCCAGAGCAGAGGCACTAGCGGTAGTTGCAGCAGCAGCAGCTGCAGCAAGGCCCCCTAGGCACCTGAGACATCACCTTGCTGCTGCGTGTGCGTCTGTGTGCCTGCCTGTTGCGGCTGCTGTTTGCTGCTGCTGCTGCTGCTGCTGTTGCTGTTGCTGCTCCCGCAGCTGACGGCTGCGTCTCCGTGCGCGTGGGGGCGCTGCGGGGCTTGCTGCCCCTTGCAGCAGCAGGAGTGATACAGGAAGAAGAGACAGTCTCTGCGCTGCAGCGCGACAGCTTCCCCCCTGCTGCTGCACATCCTTTGGTGTCTCTGCAGCGGCAGGCTTTGGCGGTGTCTGCTGCTGCTTCCCCCCGCCAGGTCGCAGCAGCAGCAGCGGCAGCTGCAGGCGCTGCAGCAGGCGCTGCAGCGGGCGTTGCTGCTGCTTCTGGGGCGCCTGTGGCGGCGGCGGCGGCGGCGGTGGAGATGCAGCAGCAGCAGCAGCAGCGTGAGCTGCAGCAGCTGGGGGCCCGGCTGCTGCAGCGCGTGTTTGGCCTCCCCATCTGCTGCGGATTCCTGCTGCTGTGCCTGGACGACCAAGCTGAGCCTGTGCGCGTTGCTGCTGCAGAGCTGCTGCTGCTGCTGCTGCATGCGCTGCGGCAGCGGGGAGACTGCAGCAAACTGTCGCTGCTGCTGCAGTCCCTGCTGTGGGACTTGGTGGGGGACCCTTCGCTGCAGGTGCAGCGGTTTGTTGCTGCTGCTGCTGTTGAACTTTCCCGTGTCTCTCCGCTGCGAGACGGGGCCCTGCGGCGCGCTGTGTCTCCTTTGCTGCACGAGCGCAGCAAGGCGACGCGGCTGCTGCTGCTGCAGATGCTGAGCTGCTGCTCCGTGCGCAACTCGCGGGCTGCAAAGGCCGCGCTGCAGGGCTTGCTGCTGCTGCTGCCCGCCTCCCGCAGCAGCAGCAGCAGCAGCAGCAGCAGCGGGGCTGCATGCGTCGTCACCTGCATCGCAAGCCTCGCGCGCCTCTATGCAGCAGCAGACAGACAAGACACATTTAGGGTTTTAGCAGATCCTCACTGCCGGTCTTCAGTGCGCTGGGGGCCCCCGGGGCCCCTCAGCCTGCGGGAGATTTTGCTGCGGCTGTTTGTCTGTGCTGCTGCAAGCCCCCCAGCCATGCAGCGAATCAAAGACGCAGCAGCAGCAGCAGTTGCTGCTGCTGCTGACGCTGCGGCTGCAGCAGTCAGCAGGGATGCAGCAGCAGGTGCAGGTGGAGTCAGCAGCAAGAAGCGCACCGGCAGCAATCTGGGCGGTGGCCAGCCGCTGCAGCAGCAGCAGCAGGCTCTGCTGCTGCTTCAGAAATTGCAGCAGCAGCTGC